TTCTCAACCCAAACGGAGGAAATTTGGTGTCGTAACTCTTGTATAACTTTTATCAACTGTAATTTTTAATTGAAATTGTAAATAGTCTAGTGAACCAAATTATGAGAAGGGGAAGTGTGGAGTTCGACTCCTGTACCCTATATTCTTAGAAGAATTAAGTAAAAACCCTATCTTCTTAGAAAAATTAAGTAAAAAAATATTTATTTTTAAAAGTGTTTTTTTTAATACTCATAATTAACTATATTCTTATACAGTTTACGGATATATACCCTTGTATTTTGATACATTATTCTCAATGATAAACTAAATATCAATGTATTTGGTCTAAAATCTAACCACTCCCCCCCCCCCCCCCAAAAAATTGCATGATTAATTACAGCTCATTTTCTCGCAATGGCACTAATTTAATCGATATAGCAAAACTATTGGAGGACCATATACAGCTACTCACTCAATGGCGAAACACTTGATCTAAATATCTCTTTTAATCTTTCTTCCTTTTGTCTTGTTCTTATTTTTTTATAGCTATTGAGCTTTCACCTCTTCGTCCGTATTTCATTTTGAATAATAGTCCTCTCTAAGAACCTTGAAAGAGGCAAGTCCATGAACATGGCTTCTCCAAGATAAAAACCAAAGTCAACGTCAACCTCTCTCCAACTTGAATTTTTCTAATGCTCAATCATTTGAAAGGCGGCGATTCTTTTGTATTTCCATTAGGATTCAAAACAAGAAAATAACATAACCGTGACTTTCTATGCACATATACATTAGAATATATATTTCATTCTTCGAAAAAACCATATAACCAATTTAGTCCAATTTCGCCGTACTCACAAAGAAAATGATTACATAAATCTGAAAAAGACAAACGAGGTTGGCATCGGCTAATTAGATGCATGCTGTAAATATGTAACTGGCTGACTTACAATAATTACTGTTATTTTGTTCTAACGACGGCTAATTTTATATGCTGATTTTATTCTCTGTATTATATTCTCTTATATGTTCATAACTTCATATATTGAGCACGTCAATATGTGTACATATTATAGTTGTTTGTACTTAGCCTGCTTGTTCTGCTATGCTTTTTTGCAAAATTATGATCTATAAGTATATATTTTGCCATGCATCCATATTTATCAGGAATGGTATGTCAAGTTATATAATTAAATGGGGGAAAACGTAAGGATTTAATAACATTTTTAAAGGATAAAACTTAGGGTCTTTTAGCCAAAAAAAAATCCATTTTAAAGGATAATTTTCAAATACTTAAAACTTAGTTTTGATAGATAGATAAATCTTTTGTCTTGTAATCAGTAAT